ACACAAAGCAGGCGACCAACGCGGACACACGGACGAACTCACCGAAGATGGCTTGAACGAACGAACGAGTGGACAGACGCGGTCTGGACGAGCGGTCGGTATGGTCATGTGTACAGGCCATGCATCGCATTCCTCCTCGAGGCAGTTTTTCACAACTGGTGTTTAAGTCTGAGCCCGACTCCAGGCCCGGGGCTGGCTCCGCTTGTCGCCGCTGCAGCCACCGTCGCCGTCGTATAGACGACGTTTGCCTGTTCAGTATGCGTTACAGCTAGAAGCGTTCGACACGAGCACGCGCCGGTGCTCGACGTCCATTCGAACTGAAATGCAACCTAACACGATCGAGGATAGGAACGAGATTCGTCTCTTCCAAAGTGCTCGATCAGCGAGCACAAGATGATGACGATCAGTCGATTGGAACAACAAGAACAGCACTCCCTGCCGAACAATCGCTGAGAACATTCAGGAATTTTGAAGTCCTCTTTGAGAGGCTCGGGAGACAACTTCAGCAGCTTTCCATAAGCCTTCAGATGCGCATGCCATAGGAGTGGGAGTTAGTTGCTATCCAGTCAGCGAGAAGTGGGCAAGAGCGGGGAAGCTTGCCGACATCCCCATCTTGTGGGTCTCCTCAAACTGTCTCCCGAAGTACTACAACAGCAGATATACCCTGCTTGAAACTTTGAAACACTCTGCGCTCCCTAAGACGTTTCGATCACAAGAAGATTGTCTCTCCGATTCGGATTGAGGTGTCGGATTCTGGATCAGGGATCGTCGCTATGGAATCGTCGCGGCTCTCCGTTTCAGGCCTCCATTTAGGTGGAATCTCAGCGTCTCAGAGACGAAAAAACTCTGTGCGGCCTCGCACCCATGAAAACTCAGCCCTTTCCGATGATTTTGGGAAGGAGCCCAACATTTCTTTAGCCTGGATGCCTGAGCTCGAAGATGAGATTTGGAGATTATTAGAAGAAATCGAATCTGAACGTGAATTGTCTGCCTATTTCGAATTTTGCCGGGAGGAATTACGACTCTCGGGGATCCGCGGAACGGCGCGGCACACTCCGGCACGAATCATTGAAAAATCAACTCTCATTCTGGCGTCATTGAAGGCGTCTCCGTCCGCCTCGCGAGATCTTCGAGGAAAAAGGAGAGGGAGGGGGAGAAAAAAGCGAAAAAATGAAGCCGTTGCATTCAGAACGGACCATCAATCGATTGCACAACCGGTCGCTAAACCGACGATGCCGACAATACCGACGCGTCGGTATTGTTGCGGATCGCGGCGTCCGACTCGCTGTGTGCAAATGACAGCTGAGATGATTTTAAAAGGTCCCGATCACAGGAGGAGCTCTGCGACCGATTGCGGAGCTTTCCATATTCCGATGGGAAGTCGCAGTCAACGACCATTAACGCGCGAAGTCGAGAAAAGGCGAGACTTTTAAAACTCTCTACTACTTCGGATTCAGGCTCCGGATCGCTCATTCCTCAGACGGAAAGAAAGATACGCTCCCCGTTGAGAGATTCGCCTCCCTGCTCTGAATTCGGAGATGAATGTTTGCCGCCACGGTGAGAGACCGTCGGCAGTTCCTGTAGCCAGACGCGGAGTCCGTCGGGGAGCGAACACTCAGTCGGACCAAAAGAAGGGCGGGAAAGCCGATCACGTCGTAGTCGGCCCACATTGTCCTGCTTTCTACCGCGGTACTTCGAGAACTACTGGGATATCTTCACTGTGTCCATCTGCCAATATCCGAATACAGACATTCCGACGCGGGACCCGTGATTTCGATTCCGGGACTGCCGGAAGCCGCCTCGGTCGATATCTCCTCCTGATATTCGGCGCTTCGAGAGTCACTGGGTGAGAAGATCTGAGCGATTCCCACCGGAGCCTCAAAACTCGAGCTCCAGATGGTTTAGCAAGAGAAATTATTCCCGAGAATTCCGGTGCCTGACGATGTGGCGCGCAGAACTTTCGGATTCAGAATACTTTCCTTGAGCCGCAATCGAGAGTGGCAATCGACAGTCTACCTGATGTACCTCAGAAATTGGAGATTCACCGCAATCGATCGCCAAGGGCGTCGCCGGCCGGGGGTACTTCCGACCCAGGCGGTTCAAGTGTCGATTGTCTGACACGGATTCAGCTTAAAAAATTGACGCCATGCAGGATTTTCCACCCCGCGCGCTGATTTTATTTTTTTCCATTAATATTCATTCGTTCATTAGGCGATAGCGCAGATGCTCGCGTGACTTGCCTAGCGATATCTGTGTTGCCCAAATTATGCTAATTTTCTTGAAATAAAGTTAGGGGCTCCATGGGTGGATATATGCACGGGCAAATCAGCCGACCTGCTCGCTGGCGGTAGCCAGGTAGCGGGAGAATGCGCATTAAATCGCTCCTGCGCGAGGTCGCCCCTGTTCTCGGCTAAGCTCGCAGTCGGCTCTCGGCCTTTGCCCCCTCTCGGAGAGACAACTCTCGTGGTCAAAATGGAACGATCTTGCGTAATAATAGCCTGGCTGATAACCGTACACAGCTATCCCCCAGTTGTATCCTGGTGTGTGAAGCTTCGATCGGGGCCGCAGGATTTCGAAAATGAGCACGATCAAGGAAAATTCACGAAGACTCCTTTTACCTTTTCCTAGCTCTCCACTCCTCGAGCTTACTCAACCTTCCGGATACCGAACAGCTGGTGCATCGAAAGGAATTCCTGTCCGACCTCAGCAAGGCATTTCAGGGCAGGAGTCGAAAAATGGTTACCGAGTAATCGCGGTTTATATGGGGGGGACCCACAATTTTTTTTGGACGGGAAGACCACGAAATTCGGGAGTCCTTCCCATGAATGTCGACATTTTGTCTCCGAGAGAGCTCAAGGATAATTTTAGACCGTCTTATTAAGCGCAGAAAAGTCTCACAAGTAATGCAACGCGACTTTTTGTGGAGTCAAAGTCATGTTTCATTATCGCGAAAGGCAGCCGCGCAGCTCTTCGAGCTTAGCTTTACGTCGCGCGCCGCTCGGAGCCGCCGAAACATGTCTTCCAGAGAATCCTAGTGGGGAATCGATCAACCTCCGGATTAGTGCAATTAGTCAGCAGCGCGGGGGCGGAGGAAGGAGTTATCTCGAGTGGGAGTTTCGTTAGACGGCATCCTCGAATTTCGAATTACAAAAAACGTAATACTTCCGAGAGAGTCGGCATGTTGGTAAAGCACAACGGAAAAGAATAATTAACGAAAGAAGTGGAGACGGGCAATTTTCTCTCACTGTGCCGGGAATTCAATACAACTGCGATACAATCGAAGTTGCATATTCAATCTCGGGAGCACCATGTTTGAATACCTATAACTCTCAGATAAAAAAGAAAATTAGAGAGACCCAGGAGAGTGTCTGGAGACAGGACATGATGCTGAAATCAAGCCTAGAAGTTTACCGGCAAGGCAAGAGCAGCCTCGGTATCCAAACCTTCCTCTACGGAAACCGAAGAGGGGACACTCTCCAGGCCTTGGCCAGAGCGGGAATATTACCAACGAAAAGCCGAGGTAGGTCTATTGATCCACAGCAGGAGGACACCTGCCCCAGATGCGGAACATTTGAAGAGACCGTAAAACATGTGATCTTCGAATGCAACGACGCATACTACACGGACGAAGATTTCCTCTCAAGATTAGGCCTCCAAGAGGAAATACGGGACCCTTCGATCGTAGCAAAAACCAAACGAATCCTAGAAAAATGGGAGAAGGAGACCAAAGATCTGCTTAATAGCGCCTGACATGAAAGGCTGATGCGCCATCTCGTAATATACATAGAGGACCCATCTAGATCAATAAATTACCATTTCCATTACCATTCTCTTCTCATATGACGCGACATATCATGTGATCCCGCCGAGGAGTGCCGTCGGAGTTTGAAGTCAGCCGCGGAACATTCCGACGGTAGGCGATGCAGTTTACTCTAGTGAGGCGCTCTGTCCACAGGAAGCGCTTCCGTCGTTATTCCTCAGGCTTCATTCGTCCCGGAGGTTCTCGAGGGGTGCTTCGCGAGTATGCTTTACAACAGCAATAAAGCGATCAAGCCTAAATCGCGAGACCCGTCAGTTTGATGGCGCCAATTATGAGGGGAATCGCTCGTCGGGAGAACGGGTATGTTCTGAGAGAAATCGCTCACTCTGATCCGGGCGAGAAGCCAAGATTGCGACCGAAATCCCGCAACGCGGTCAATTCTCAAGCTGGATAAACATTTCCCTCACCTGACTTTAGATCTCGTGAGAGCGCTACCGATCATCGCGGTCCTGCTGATTTGGTCCGTTCGAAGGGGTCTTCGGTACCCGGATGCTCTTTGAGTCGAATTTGGGCAACCAGCCCACCTTGGCTCCGGGGAGAATTCGTTCCCGGCTTGTGGAAATCTCATTTGCAAGCCCATATTGATACGATGAGAGTCATCGAATCAAATGCTGAGATTCAGAAAGGAGCGACCCGTATTCCCGAACTTTGAACGGATTCGAACCTGCCTCCACGGCGGATGGAATCTAAACTTCACGGAAACTATACCGGTCGGGAGCGGAGACCCCGACTCAGACGGGCAGGGGTGACTATGGCGGAAGGGGAGCTCCCCCGGCCTGATCCTTTCGGAAACCGCTTCCGAAGCGGCGGAATACAGACGAAACACAGATACTGTGGTATACGAGTTCGCTCGCTGGTAGGGGCACGCGCAGCAGCAGGCTCATCCCTAAAGCTAGTCGTATCGGCGGCCTAGATGCTTCGGATGTCTCAATCAGGTGAGCAGGCTCACTTCCGGCTGGCGTTCATCCCTGTTGGGGAGTCACAAGATGGGACCGCCACGGAGAACTGGGCGCTCCAATTTGTGGACGAGCTCGGCGATGCCAAAGTCTCAAATCTCGGAGTCGGATTCGGTTCATGAGCTTCAACGGTCGCCAAGCACAAATGGCGGTTGTCATTTCCGATTGACGAATCAAGAAGATCGAGCAACGCCCCAACGAGAGGAAATTTCGCTCAAGTCTCTGTTTCAAAACGTGGCTCCAAACTTTTTATTCGACTGTATCCGAAATATCAACTCGAATGTAGGTGGACCATGGGATCAGCGGGTATGGTTCGCGTATTAGGGAACATTTTCGGTTATGAGAATCTGTATGTAACATGGCTTAAAGTTATCATTCACCTCCGTTTTTACAATCGGTAAGCAAGGCATCGAGCTGGAACATCCAGACTGTATCCTGCACCCTAAGAAAAGTCTCCGTGTCTGAAGGACAGGTCAAAAAATCTTCTCTCGCGCGAGTTTCGAGTTCGGGATCATCCGCCTTAGAGGAACTCGTCGCACCAGTCTTTCAAACACTGGAAGCAGTCATTCGACTGTTTTGCGTTGGCTCCGGATATTTCTTTCAGCCATTCGGTGAAGAGCTCTTGATTCTTCTTGAGGACCAGGAACTGGCCAAGCAACACGTAGGCTTTGTCGAAACCCTTGGAGATGAGACGCTTGCCGAGGACCTGCAAATAAGAAATCGATTTAGAGAATGTTATCATTGAGATCCGCGAGCCCCGGGATGGTCTCACTTGACAGGTCAAGGATAATATATTCGATCTATCTAGTGACTCAACAACGTTCGGCTTCGAGAATGTGCATCACTCCGCAAGGGGCATACACCGGGAATGTCGCCGTTAGCGGCATGTCGCATCGACTGCCCGGCGAGAGGGATCAGACCGAATGGATACGTCGGGGATGAGTCCGTAAAAACGGAAAACGACCCACCTCTCCGATGCCGGCAACATCCGTGATCGGCTTCTCGCCCATGGGTTCGGATACAAACGACCTGTGCTTCTGTGAAGTTGACGACATGTTGTCAGCGAGTTATCTAATGCGCCCTTGGAGAACTTCTCAACGGCAACGGTCGAATCTGATCAACGGGACAAGTCTACAAGTTGTTTCACCGCTTGAAAGTGTTTTTCGCAAACTCGCAGACACACATTCAGCGACAGACGAATATTCCCCCACGGTGGAGAGAAAAAAACCGACACAACAAATTCAAATTTCGGCATCGGGAGGCCTTTAAGGGAGCGCAGCCGCCAGAAATGATAAGTCCGAAGATGTGTAATCCCTCCCTACATCTCTCTTCGGTGTCCAGCGGGGATAACTCTGGATTGATACTCTGAGGTATTATCAGAAGGGAACCAGATCATCCGAAAAAGGAATCTTCTCATTCTTTCTCTCGTCCAAAACGCTCCCAAGATGGCGACACCCATGGCGTGACTTTCGTATGTTCTTGTCTACATTCTACATCGAACAGGTTTATTCACTGAAGTTCGGGCGCGCGGTTCAGTTTTCTCCCGAGCGATGAGTCCGCTACGCGCGGTTTGAGTCATCGTAGGATGCTGAGAAGATGCCGCTCGCTTACTGGGAATAGTGGAGCATCGACAGATTCCCCTGGTACATACCGCTTCATTCGACTTCTTTCGCTGAATGCATCAAGCAAGAGAACTCACTATGACTGCCTCGAGCTGCCACTGTCCGCAACATCGAAGGAAATCAAGTCGGCGTTCTATAGGTTCGTCAGAATCGATCAAGTCACGCACCCCCGAGTAGCGAGGGCCAATGGGCAATCGGGCGCCCACCTCTGATTTGGTCTCTGTGTATCGTCTTCGAAAGGCTCCCCTACGATTGAGCTTTCCCACCTTCGATCGACCTCTCAAATTAAAAGTATGTCCATTCATCAGGTTGTCGATGAAACACCATCCGGATAAGAATTTAGACAAGGAGGATTCGGCTGAGAAATTTCGGAGAGTGTCAGAGGCTTATCGAGTTCTTTCGAATGAGGAGACGAAGCGTCTTTACGATGCCGAGTTGAGGAGTGAGTCTACATTGTTTAGTAGCATCGCATCCATCGAGCGGATTGGACGTCGGATATAAGTATCTACTGGCATATGGTCTGACAATCATCGGGAAATTCACGGACTCATGGCTCTGATTACTTCCAGATACTTCGGCATCACCTGCTTCATTCGGAGGGTCGCCGGTCCGCAAACCTTCGATGCGCGGCGCGCATGTTAGTGCTAGACCCCCACCCCCGATGGGTCGTAGCAAAATATACAATTTCGACGAATTCTATCGACAGCACTACGGTCAAGATGCCAGAGAAATGAACGAACAGAGGCAGAGCCGAGCTAGGGAGGAAGAAGAACTCGGAGAAGAAACAGGGAGAAGAGGCTTGATCCTCACGTAAGTACCCCAGAAGGCTGAGAGTGAGGGGAATGAAACATCATTCGCGAGGGCATTGGAAATCGAGCTTCTCTTGCCTTGTCTCTCATCCATCACGTATCCCCAAACGCGGATTCACGAGTTGCATTCCTCATACACATTCATATGACGGACATCAATGGGCTCAGAATGGGGGGGGGGCTCCGAGAATCCTGAGGACAGGACCAGGGCCGAGGGACCGGTCTGTCTTATCTCGAAGTGCGTTATCTTGCCGTGGCCGAGTGAGTCAAGGTGGAGATTTGGTCGGTGTCGATACCGAGCAATCGATCTGGCATGAGCGAGTGACCCTAACACCCCTTGCGACGAGGCTCTCCCCATTTTCGGATTATGATCGGAAGGGCCCCCCCAGCGAAACCCAAAATACGTATTCGGATGAGCGTCTTATGAGCGTCTTCTTTCAGAGTCCTCACCTTCATGATCTTATTGGCCGCGAAGGACCTAGATTGATGGAAACTGATGGCGAATGCCCCCCAAAAGAGCCGTGCACAACCTGTGGTAGGGTGCTTCGACTCCCCAAGTGTTACTTGTTGGATATGTCGTGGGAATCATAGATAAACTAAAAATGTTCAGTGCACCTCTTGACTTCTTCAAGCGACGCCAGCTCTCGATGGCGCTGTCAAATCGATCTAGACGGTGAATTAGTCTTCTCCCGTCGCAGAGGCCTCGGACGTCCGCGACTTCGGGGGTGGTATCAGGATTCCCTTCGCCCAATCGAGGGGTCCGAGCGACTGCCACAAAAATATGGAATCTGGATCGCTCGAGGGGAGTCGCGAACCGCCACCGCAGAAAACTAACGTCCGTGAAATCCGGGTCAGGAGGGCGGGTAAATCAGAAATGAGGTGTCGCGAGCCCGATGAGCCCGGCTCGAGGAACGTTCCCCCCGGAATCCGGCAGATGTGATTCGGCAGCACATCGGGGTCCCCGCGCCGCGACGGTCTCTGCGATATCCCCTGTAGTCTGCCGTACTGCCATCGCAGAAAGAGCGGACTCCGGCAGAGATTCAGGAAGAGGAAGGATAACTTGTCCCGATGAAAATTGAGCCTTCCCTCCGATCCTGCCCCCGCATTCGATTGCGGAAAATATTTGCACTTGAGGTTTCCTACCGATACATTGTACACTCGCAACTTGATGAATTTCGAATAAGGATTCATTTCGACGCAGCATGAGAAGCTGACGAATACGATAGAAATGTCGAAACTTTGCCATTCCGGACTGGAATGAAGTCGTCTCGAAGTACCACAAAGAGACAGTCGCTTTATTGGAGTTGACCAAGATGGTTGAAGATGTTGAGATTAGCTTATGATCACAGGTCTTTTCACTCTATCCAACTCATTCATGACGCTGCCCAAGACCCCTTGCACCAAGGGAGCTGCACGAGCACCTTGCGTCTCTTTGTAATGACTAGACTCGACCGTTGACTCCGGATTTGGGACAGCGGAAGCCTCTGGTGGGCAGCTGAGAGGGTAGCTGGAGATGTAAATCAGACATCGGAATCCTCAACATAATTCCCGCGGACTTCCCCAAGCAAAAATGTATAGGAGCCGAGAACAGAAAGCACACGTGATATTGAACATGAATTGGATGAAGTAACCGAGAAAGCTTCCTCTGCTCCGATCAGAGGGAGTCCTCAAGATTGGCTGCATTGAAGAATCTGCATTTTTTGAGCGAATAATGACCGAGGATTCGGGAAGGATAAGGGAGTTACATCCTCTCAGCAACAAAAAATCATGAGGCTGGTCCTATCGTATCGGATTGGTAAGCGCGGAGTTGGGTCATGAAACCCTCATTTGGCCGAGCGATTGGTCGTATCGATCTTGTGTGTCTGAGGGCCCTATCCAGGTCCATTCCTTTCCGACTTATCAGGTACGCTATGCAGATGGTTGTGCTTCTGGAAACTCCTGAAAGGTTCCCGTAGGTTATGACTCTTGGAAGCGTCAAAATTGTGAGATTCAAGCTTGTACATGCTCCACGCACACTAGAGACTGGACTCCCGAATATCCAAGTCCCCTTCATATCGGACACTCCGTCGAACCGATAGCTCCAGTCGACGAGGCTGCCATTTGCAGGGTCACAGAGTCAATCCCCTTAGATGCGAGAGCCGAAAATGGCATGTTCGAAACAAAGCCCGCTTGAATGATAAATTCCGCTTTCACGAACCTGCGTTGCAATGGACGAAAACAGCGCCGCCCGAAGCTAATGCCTCATCAATGAAGCTGTTACAGTGCTCGAAATGAGATCTCATTTCTTGTTCAGGGATATCGAGTACCTCAACTCTCTTATACTTGAAATCGTCGGGGAAATGATTTTTTATCCCGGAGGCGGCATTGATGATGTGAGTGACACCCTTAGACTTCAGCAGCTCCAGCTCAGAAGCAACGTCCTGAGAACCTGCGGAATTTCAACAGGAATTCGGTTCTGAGGATCATACGATGGATCCGTATTCTATTGAATGCTTCACTAGCGCAAGCTCGGGACTTGACTAGATATTTTCGAAGAAGGAATGCGCGATCTCCTCGCTCCGATATCCCAGCTGGAGATCAGTTACCGAGGAATAAACCCGGAATGAGCTCGGCCATTTGCAGATCAGGTTTGAAATCGTAAACGAAACCTTGACAGTTTCGCGTTCGAGGTTCGGGGTTCTGGATCGACGTGAATCCTCCCCCATTTGTCCTGTGTTCAAGGAAGACCTCGCCTGAAAATTAATGACGTGTCCTGATTTAGGAGATACTCGCGGTGATTTCAAAATCTTTGCATGTGACGGACTGACGGCTGACCATGTAATAAACTCCATGGACTGAGTCCGCGCCGAAGCTGAGGAACGCATCGCGGGCCCTACTAGGTAGAGCCTGACAGACGTCAGATAAATATTATCCTCACCTCCCGGGGTTGACACTCGAGTTTCAACACTGCGGAGCTTCGGGAGCCGACTGCGAATATCTTTGAAAATATCTTGCATGTTGATTACGGTCCTCCGAAACCAGGGAAAATTTATTCAGGATCTCGGTACTGCCTCAAGGAAGTCTATTGTTTCCAGCTCGTTAGGACAGGGAGCAAACAACCAGTTGTGAGCTTTGGAAAACGACTACGGATAACTTTTCGCACAAACTACACCCTCCATTATACTCATTCAGGCGAGAGACTATGGCTCACTAGGGTTCTTCCTCTGAGCTTGGCTTCCGCGGGAGAGGGTGATTCGAATTTTCAGCGCGAATGAGCAGCTAGTGAGGGGAAGGCTAAAAGACCGAAATGCTTCCACATCGATGGAATTTGTTCCGAGCGAACACAGAATTCCGTTACAACGGGCGTATAAAGCGAAAGAAGACGACTCCTCTGACTTGCCGTTCCCCAGTGGCTGTCTTCCATCGTGGTTCGAGATCGTGAGGGACTTAAGAGTTTCCTCTCGGTGTGCCATAGGAGTCCAGAGCGTCTTGAGCTGGGGCGAAATAATTGTGAGCTCCGACTCCGGGTCGAGTCCCACATGATCGTCACTATCGTGATGCTTGACGCTACGACTAGAACTGATGGTGGAGGTCTCCTTCCCGTTTCCCTCTCAGACCCGCGAGAGCCGACACTCAAACAGAGGCAGCAAAGCGGGAGATCTCTCCGCTGGCACGGTGAGTATCTCGCTCTGACATTTCGGGTGATTTTTGTAATTCGTCGCGTTCCCTCTTATTCCCTAAGCGAGAAGGCTTCTGTTTCCGGCCCGCTCGGATCACCGACCAGTTCAGCAATGGGAAATTGCGAAAAATAACCGGTGCTTCTTGAGTGGTCGAGGCGACAGGCTCCTCGCGGCGTCGGGAAACATCCGGTACAAGCGGGCGTGATGCGTCAACGGGGTTACCCCGTTGGAAGCGGCAGTAATCGCTGATTACCAGAGTTTTCTATCGAACAATTAATTGGAATCCGGTCTCGACTTACAGATGGCGAACCGCGAGCGGAGATCGCTGACCCCGGGGGGCATCTCGGGCGACTCGAGATCTTCCTCGAGGGCCGGGACCCCCAGTACCCTGAGGAGGAGGCCCCATTACAGATCGCAGATGTCGGTCATCTCATTCCAATCAGATCCTACCCGACCGCCACAGTACTTCATCCTGAACCCCATGCATGTCGTGAATTTGACCGCGGACAAGACGAAATCCTTCGGTATCCGGATGGCACAGAAAATGAAAGCCTTCTCCGAAAAGTGGTTTTCACACGTGCTGCTACTGACAATTCTGCTGCTGTACGCCGCAGCTGGCGCTCATCTGTTCGTGTGGCTTGAAGAAGATTATGAAATACGGCAGAAACACACCATCATCAACTTCAGAAATCTCGTGATCAATCGACTGAGCAGTACTTTACGGACGCACAATGCAAGCCAGTGGCAATCGGATGCGCAGTACAGAGTGATGGAATACGAGGAACAGATCCGCACACTCCGCCGGGAAGCTTATCTCTACACACCGTCCGATAAGAAAGTGTGGACATTCTGGGGTGCTCTGTTCTATTGTTCAACAGTTTTTACGACGATCGGTGAGTATGCTCTCACAGAGAACTAGAATTTCGGTGGATATTCAGCTTCAGTGGAAAACATCGCCCGATAGCTGACGGCTTTTCTTTCCTGCTTTTCGAATGCAGTGACAGCCGATCAATTCCGTTTGATACACCGGCTCGTTCTTAGTGCGGTCGAGCTCCGGCGTGTACGATGACTTCAGCGCGAAACGTCATGACGATGACTACAGTTCATCGCTCGTGGAATCCCGAGGCCGATAAGGCCCGGAAGGTCGATCACGTGGAAAATATTCTCCATGAGTCATGTCGAGGACGACGAAATTCTACGCGATGGGAACTCGCGTCCGAATAGAAACAAAGACAGCAACCAGAGCCCTTCATCACTCGGTTTCTCCGGCAGCGCGAATGACGGCACCGCGCGACGTGCTGTGCTCATCAATCCCATCAAAGCAAGCTAGCGTGCTTTTTTGCTCTGGCCCTCTCAGAGCCAGCGCGACAAGCCGGTCGGACGGCCGGTCGGTCGACATTACGCCTAAGGAAGAAAGCGCATCTGTTGAGAACATTCCTGTTTAGTTCTCGTGCTCGGGCCCCGGCTTTAAGGACACCTCTGTCTGTCACTCCGTCACTGTGTCGTCGTTCTCTCGGCCGACCCACCGGTCGGGCAGGCGGGCAAACGAGCCTGCGATTGGCTGCCTGGTTTGTGTGCCGCGACCGAGCCGATCGGCCGTGGCAGCGAAGATAGCCCATTTGATACTCCTTGGCGTCGCCAAAGGTCAAAGCGGAGTTCCCAAGCCACTTATTTGGCGGGAACGCTGCATGAGAATTATTTCGTCGAGAATCCCGGTTTACGGCGAGCGCCGTATCCGCGGTCTTCCGGGCCCGGCACGCGGCCGGCTTCGAAGCGGGAGATTTCCAAGTATCGGAACGGCTTCAGCTCCTGCGAGAGAAACGAGAATCCAGCCCGAAACTGCTTCGGATGGGAGCGCGCAGGAGAAGTTGCGTCGATTCATCGGATCCGGACTCCGAAATGGATCACTGCTTGATGGATCGCTCAAGGTCTGGAGGCGAATCAATTTGGAATCCACGCGATACTCCAGCCCGGCCTCTCCACTGACCGGATGTTCTTTGATCGGGAAACTCGAGTTTGCGGTTGCATCGACGTCCGGTCCTCGAGCTGACTAGAAGGACGTCGCGAATCGGTCATCGGTTTGATGACCTACAGATTTCGTCAGTCACTTGTGCATAAACGCGTGAGTGCGATTGGGCGATTCGACCGGCGTCGACCCGAGCCTCGCCGAGTCATCGAGGATTCGGGGCGCTCGACGTCTGCGACCGAAAGGAACGCACGTTCTCGCGCTGGCCTGCGAGCATGCGACGTCCTCAAATCAGCGGGGTCGGTAATGCACGAAAGGTCTAGCGCGTTCCTTGAGTGAGTCATGCTTGCTCTTTCGAGGAATTGCGCGCTCGTGCTGAGCGCTAGGCAAGTGTTTCTATTTTCCCCTCGCGTTCGAAGCCTTTTATGACAGGACTGCACTGCTTCTCGCGGGAGAAATGCCCGCGAGAGGAAATGGCCGATAGAGCTCAGAATGAGAGCCTTCGTCATTTCCTCCGAGTCCACGATAAATAATCGAGCACAATACCGCTGCGTTCCGTTTGGCCTCTCTGAGTGGGGAGAGCGAGGCGGTCTTAGCGGTCGTACTCCACGGCCCTAAACGTAAAAATCTTGATTGAACCTATATCTTAGAAATATTATTTTAGTAGGTAATTTTATTGCGGACAAGCTTGATACCATCGAGAAGCTGATTGGGTCGACTTTCGAGTATTCCACTATAGAATCCCGACCACGGCTAACCTACTTGAATTTTTCATGCGCCGATATGATCGAGGCTCTGCTGTCGATCTCCTTAATCTCTCGAGTCGACTCGCCTACCTGGACACCGTCTTTACATTTTCCATGCCGCGGAGTTCAAGAAGCGGCTCGAGATGATTCATGTTACCTAGCCCCGAGAATCTTCCGGAGGGGCCTTCCTTCCAGAGCGGCATAGCTCATGCGCGGCCGAGTTCACCGCTCCTTCGGCTCTCGAAGCGCGCAGGACGTAGGCTTCTTTCTCTCTCCTCCTGGCGGTTTTGGTCTCTCGATATGAACTCTTCGCAGTGTGGAGACCCGTAAACCAGCCAGGATCCATCTAAATTGATCATTTGTCAGACATAGAGGGAGCATTCGACTCTATCGAAGGGCTGACCGGGAGTTTCTCTACCTGCGCTCGGAAGTCTCGTAGAGTCGGAAACGGATTCCCCCATCCGGGAGTCATCCTCAAAAACGCGGCGAGTGCTTCTGGTTCTCAGTCAGTCACACAGACACTTTCTCTGAACCGTCGATTGGCTCTCCTCGGAGAGCCCAGTGTCGCTCTCGGCCATCCCGGTTCGTCGGGCCGGCCGGTGGGCAGACAGGCAAACGGGCCTCAAAGCCAGATCTAGACTCAAGAACGGTGTCTTCGAGTCCAGGTGAATTGGGCTCTCGAGCGGTCAGAGCGCGTTGACAATTCACGCGTTCGTAAGCACAACTAACTTCTGGATCTGTGATCAGTGCTCTGACGTTGTGGATGTCAAGTGTCGGTGGTGCCATTGTGACAACTTCGCTCGAATCGGAAGAAAAGACGTTCTATATCTAAAATGTCGTCGGGTGCAACCCTGCGGCCTGGGACCCCCTCGGGCGTGCAGCGGGTGCCCTCGCGACCGGGCACCCCGTCGAATCTACGGAGGAGACCGCTGTACGCCTCGCAGAGATCTGTCATTTCGATCCAATCGAAAGACCGGCGGAAACCGCCGCAGTTCTTCTTCGTGAACCCGATGAATGTCGCCAACATGACAGGTCGAGGCATCGGAACCGCTTATTCACGCGGCGTTGAACTCGCGAAGAAAATCAAAGAATTCTCAGAGACATGGTTCTCCCATCTGATGCTGTTGTGCTGTCTCATGGTGTACTGTTTCATCGGTGCCGCCATGTTCAGGTGGATAGAGGCTCCGCACGAAGAGCGAGAGGCTAAGGAAACTGTGTATCTTAACGAAACCCGGAAGATTCTCTTGGATTCACTTCAAGCTAATCTCAGGAATCGAACAATCGAGGATTGGAAACGATTCGCGAATGAGTCCCTGCTCGAGCACGAGAAAGTCGTGTTCGATCTCGACGACACCGAGTTCCTGAGAAATTATTCGACCCAATGGACTTATACTGGATCCCTGTATTATTGCATGACGATCGTCACAACGCTCGGTAGGTTTATCTCAAGTGAGTCACTTGAAGAAATCGTTCTGTTTCTATTGCTTCTCAGCGTCATCTGAGAGTTTAACGATCTCGGGCCCGATCTCAGAAGCTTTCGCCTGATTAAGGTCCGGTGGAGGATTCTGAGCTTGCCCAATTGGTGTGACGGATTTCTCGTGATCAAGTCTAGTCGAAAGAAAGAAAGATCACCAACCGAATAGATCAAGGAAGCTCTCATAGCAGTTAGCCATATCCGCTGATGGTAGGGCGTCACACACGAATACCGACGGTGATGGTGATTCTATCGAATGCTGAATAACTTTCTCGTCCGCTATCAGCCGATCTCGAATTCTTTACGTCGTGCCGCGCACCCGAAATTCTAACAGCATGGTGTACGGCGTAGGCTTCCTAGGCGTTCCAATTCTGTGTGATACCCCTGTATCCTTGAACCTATCTAGCCTCATACGAGAAATAGAATGAGTGACTCACGAAAAAGAAGAAATAAAACGGGGTCTAGGGTAGGCGAGGAGGAATAAAGATGAAGACTCGCCAGCGGACGCGAGCTCACTTTTCCCCGAGTCGAGAGCTCCACCATCCAGCTCGGTAAGCGTCAAGCGTTGCCTGCATGCGGGGCTCATCCCGCGTGCAGCGGAAGTCGCATGTCCGAGAATTCGTTCGACGAGAAACGTCAGCGGCTCGCCTTGCGGATGTCAGAGTCTGGCGAGCTGAGAGCAAGTGAGGAACGGACAGATGATTGATCCGGCCCGATGGGTTAGCTGAGGCTTCGCTCAAAGCTACAAGACACAATCTGTCATTGTACGCGAGCCCGCCACTTGCCATGTCTAACTGAAGCAAGTGCACGAAACGTTTCTTGTGTTGCTGCTCTCGTCCGCTCTTTCCGCCCGTCGTGTTCGAACTCTTGTCAGAGGTGGCGGCGACGCGACGTCGGCGTGCGTCGTCGTACCGACGATGCGCAAGAATGCTCATCCTCGGCAGTCGAGATTTCGTTCCTGGCGTTGTGGTGTATTGGGCGAGTGTAGGTCGCCGTCGTTGTCGTCGACGACCGGAACGACAGCTTCGATTCTACACAACGAGCAGCTTCAACTGCCAGAGCTAGGGTCACAGTGCTGCAAAAGACGCCACCGCGGCGTCGTCGTTCGATCGGTCGGTCTTCGCGACCGCTGTTCTCAACGGTCGTCGCCGCCATAAACTTTGCTGATATATAGCTTCGACTTCCTCTGCGAGCTCAGTGCGGCAGAAAAATACCTAGGAAGAACAAACGCTCTGATGCTGCCAACAACGGCTGGAACGATTCGGGGAGCCTTCCGCCACGTCAAACTCGAAGAGCCCTGTTGTCATTCAGTCCCACTAAACGGCCGCGCATGGAGTTTGCTTACGCCGACCGACTCTGAGACAAAGGGAAATACTTTTAATAATCGTTCGTCGACGATACAAAGTTTCGAACGTCTCGCCGCCGCGCCACTGCCGCGGAATTGCCTGAGGGTATGGCAGGCGATCGAAATATTACATGGTTCTCCGGGAATAACGCTGTTGTGGTGCTCGGCTAAACAAGCAACGAGCTGCTGATTGATAGGAGAAATGAATGTTTCTGAGCCATGTAATCGTCAGTCGATTCTGAGATTTCTCTCACGCAGAATAACAGTTATCAGACATCGTCGTTCTGGATGTGCTCCGCATCGGGACTCACGTCTCGCAGCGTCGTCTATCCGCCGGTCCGGTGTCATTTTTCGGCTGCCCCTCGTCAAGAGCTTGCAACCAATAGGCTGGCTGACTCAGCTCGTGGGGGGGGGGGGACACGCCATCGATGTTATTTTGCCCATATCGAGTCCTTCTCAAGGAACCAGGATTATAAATCTTTTCATGGGTTCATTCTTAGGATCACAATCCCTTGGAGGAGTTATTGCTCCTCGGATAGGGCTTGGATTCTCAAGCTGGGAAGACAAAACGCACTGGGATGCGCCGTGTGGGGGATCGGGCCTCGGATGCTCGATTGTTTCCGTTCTAGAACGCTCAATATGAAGACGGCGACAGAGAAACAGAGGTTGCTGTGTCTGAGAGTGAATGTCATTACTCGATAGTCCACGGACCTTTGAGGGCTCACTCGACTTGCTCGGAAGCAGTGGCGTACCGAATCTTCGATTTCCCGGCATCGGGCCGAAGTATCAGTGAAGTTAATTCGAGAGCGAGGCTCGGGGTGGACAAGAGGTCTAGGCGGCCGAATAGGCCTCTTCGGGACGAACACTCTTCCTCGTAGCTTCACGGTGTGCCGCTCAAGTGGAAGGTAGCGGGTTCGATCCCTGCACCTTCGGTGATGCCCGGCGCGCCGAGGCTTGCCTCTCACTAAGTAGGAGTCGTTGAGCCAAGTTGAGAATGGGAGGAGTGACGGGCCCTAGGCAGGGCAGGGGCCATGGCCGCTGTCGAGGTTTCTGTCTGGACAATAAGGCGTCGAGTAGAGAATCATGATCATCGACGCCTCCCCCCTCTGCCCCTCTCGATTCCTATCCGGGGAAGACTCCGCTGCATGAATAAGCACGGCGGGAAAGTCACCCAAAGACTGTGGGCTCGGAGTACCGATCTCAGGGCGCAATTTTCGTGGGAGGATACCTGTTTTTTCACTTATTTAGAATTCCTGAGAATCTGAATTCATACACAGACCTGGAGGATCTCCTCGCGAGGATGGCCGCGAAGGATTTCAGTGCGAAATTCCTCCCCCGATAACCTCTGGATTTATGCTCGGGAGAAGGGCCATGGACTTTTCGGGAGAAAAATGTGTTCGTCCTGGAGCGAGGATGAGACCATAGTCGTCTCAACTCTCACACGCGCTCCGCTCATCGATTTCGCGCGGTCGAGAGTGTCATGTATCCTCGTGAATGAGACTCAGCGAGGACGAATCTTGGCTGAGGCTTACGAGCTTCGGAGTGACGATTCGCGACTCACGATCGACCTGGCTTGGAATCAGCAGAGGCTTCAGGAAGGAGCTCAAAGCTTCTAGAATGCTGTCTATGGAGCTGGTCGGAGAAAGATGAAATGAGGAGAGTTTCCACACGAATGGAGCTGCTCAATGGGATCGCGATTGTAAGCCTGGAGAATCAGCTCCCCTCATTGACGAACCAAACAATAGATACCGCTCCATTGCTGCCAATGAGAACGGAATTCGATGATACGATGAGAACGGTGATGCCGCCTTCGTGCGGCGATCAAACATCCATTTCGCGCCGGACGGATAAGGATGTGCCGTGGAGGGAGAATCTGGAACTTGTTACCGAAGGCAGGATCTGTTGCGCGGAGAAGTCGGGCACGTCTCCACTATCATTCGAGCCTTATCGGAAGTATTCTGTGATAGACTCGCTCGATCGGGAGGTTCCGTGAGAAAATCTGAGCTCTGAGAAAAACGATTGCGGTTGCTGAGCGGCAAATCCCCGATGGCTTCCGGAACGTCTCAGTTCTCAGCTCGATCCAACACGATCTAGAGCTGTTCAGCGTCCGACTCATTCGATCGTCATGTCTCTCAGAGTTATTGTTCTATGCGGACTCCGTTGTTCGCGGGCCTGTGCTTCTGTCTTCGAATCAGGTGCGATTCGGGCTAGGATCCCTCTCCTGTGTTTTATGGGAAGCTCTTTGAGAAAGTGATTCATTATCAAATGAGGTCTTTGAGACACCGAGTCAAGGTCACTTGAGTTGTTGGCAACGACTCCCCTCCTCCTCTGTCGAGAGCGAGAGATTCTCACAGAAAAGGGAGACTGCTATCGGCTTCTATTATACGCACAATCTATCTTGCTCGTTTCCAACCATATCTTACGGGGATGTCGACCGCCTCCTGTTTTTCTCGCGGCAGTGCTTTCTTGCCAGACTTCCTTGCACGCAGAGCACACCCTCTTGATAGAAGCACCCACTTCGTGAACAATGTTGCAGAGTGCAAATGGAAGAGAATAGGAATTGAAGAAAGCGCGTATTGTGAAATGGGCAGGGTTTCGAGTAGACCCCTGAGAGAGTTCGGATCCATTCGAAAAGAGAAGGGGGATTCCCCAGACCCATGGACAACCAGAGCTCTCGGTCACAGATCAATTATGAGCTATGGGACCTCGGGATCTATGATGTATCCTTTCGTCTCGGAATCCTCTGCGGTCGATCTCATAAATTGCCTCCCACGCGAGTTCTCATGTGCCACCTGCCAAGGATACAAACACAAACCCTGCTGACGATTACGAATCATTGAGATTCCACGTATGCTGCCCGCTCTGAGTGAACACCAGAATCGGTGCTCTAGAATCGAGAGCGGCACCACCTTGAAGGCTCTCAATTCCATCGCATGGATATCCTCAAGCGGATACGGGCGGTTCCGTATGTAATTAATAGTTCCCGCTCCCGAGGTAGATGGAGTCGTTTTTGCCGGCCCTGCCTTCGTACAATGGCTCTTAATCACGCAACCGCTGCACATAGTAACAGCCGAACCTAAACTTCCCGTCATTGCTCTATAACAGGTTACGGCAATATCGCGCCCTCGACGACTGCAGGGAAAATCGCCACGATTTTTTACGGCATCATCGGCATCCCCCTGCTACTTATGGTTCTTGCCGACTTGGGGAAACTTTTCACCAGGTGGATCAAGTGGTTCTTCTTCCTGGCCAAGCATTTCTACCGTACTGGAACCTGCGCGAAGAAGAACCAGGACAAGAGCGGTCCCGTCCAGGTGAGTTCTTTTTTTCGATCGCTCGTAACGTGACTCGTCTCTAAAGGGCAACAAGCACGTGGCTCTCTGGGGGAAACGTGGAGCCGCCAGCAGAAGGACGGGATGGCTCGGCGCTCCGGAAGTGGGAAGAGTCCACTCAAAGCTATATCGCTATATCCCTCGGAAAACTCATCTTTTGGAGTCAGTTAAGATCTCGGCTGTGATTCGTATAGTGACGCTCGAGACAGATAGACGGAGTTTTCCTGTGGCCGCTCGGGTCGGAATCCCGCACTCATCGTTCCCATTTGCCTTCTGATGCTCTGAGCTCTCATCGCTGTATCGACAAAGACTGAGTTCACGAGGAGCTCAATTTTCTTCCCAGTACGTCGCGTTCGTGTGGCAGAAAGTCAACGACAAGATGACCTACGTACCATATCCTGCGTACATGAAACCGAAGCCTAAACTTGCGGATGAGGGAGAAACAGGAACCGACATCGAATCCCGTAAAGCAGACACAGAGGTCGGCCAATCCGAAGGTCCAGAGGATTTCGATGCAGAGGTCGACGACGAATTCAATCTCCCTGTCACGGTTGCTCTCATCATACTCTCGTTGTATATGACGGCTGGAGCCACGCTATTCACGTTTTGGGAGCGCTGGGATTTCACGAATTCATTCTACTTCGTGTTCATTTCGATGTCAACTGTAGGTGAGAATCTCAGCCCCCACTTCCGACCCAATCCAGTGCTAGTCCCGTCGAGGTGTTCTCAGGCAAGGAAATTCACTATCAGATTGACGGATGGATTCGTTTGCAGGTTTTGGCGACCTGGTCCCTGAGCACCCGATCTTCATGATGGCTACGTTCATTTATCTCCTCTTCGGGTTGGCCTTAACTTCGATGTGCATCAACGTCGTGCAGGAAAAGCTCTCCGCGATTTTCCAGAAAGCTAAAATGCAGCTCGGCACCACCATAGGTCAGAGACGCGGACCTGTTGCCTTGTCGGAAATATATCCTCTCTCCATCCGACTTCGGATAGCCTCGGGACCTGTCGAAGATTTCATTGGAAAACCGGAAAGTTTCGAGGCAGAGCTGAAAACGAAAAGATTCGCGTAACAAGTTGCCTCGTTGCTCCGACAGGTTTCGATCCTTCAATGCTCGCTGAAGAAGTGATCGACGAGGAGTTCGAAGACGACGACGACGAAGAGGATGCCCTCGCCGGCGGTCCGGCAGGACCCGGTAAGGCTGCGGGGGCTATCGCGACCGCGGAGAAGAAACAAGCGTTGGAAGGAACGGCGAGTGCCTCGAAAGCACCAGAGAAACCCGCAACGAAAGGGAGCGACCGGAAGAAATCACTCGCAGGTGAGAGCGGCGAACTGCCTTGGAAATTATGCTCCTGGTCTCTTCCGAGTCGGCGTGCGCACCTCAGGATTCGGGATGCAAAACGACGGGATGATAAGGAGGATAAAAAGCTTGGCTGGAATCCACAGGAGGAGGCCGACGGAACTCGAAAGCACCGAAAAAACCGGAGATCAATATCGACGAGCTTATTAAGAGCGGTAAGGGTGTCGATGCCACGAAGAACATGCAAAGCAGACAATAATTTATTGACCTGAAAATACCAGAACCCCCTGTATCAGAAGATCGGTAGTGCAATCTCACTGAAGGTGAGTAGCCGAGACTCGGCCCAGAGTTTCGGCACTGATGCTTGCCATATCTTGAGCTTCGTTCGAGATACCCGTCCAAACTGCCTGAGGTTATAATATCTTACGTACACGGAGAGAGAGACGAAGCAAATGCTTTTACCAAACGGCAAGTCTGATTGGTAACTGAATCTTGACCGTAACCGTTGACCTTGTCATTGCGAGTCATGACAAACTTACCCACGTACTTTTTCTCGATTTTTCAGACTTTGCTGTTATTGCACTTCGATTGAACAGGGGGTTCTGTGTGAGAGGTTTTTTTCGCTCATTTTACTCGGTCTTTTCCCGAGGACACATTTTCAGAAATTTTTGGACAGAATATGTTTTTTTCAAAGCTTGGAACGATCGACCTCCCCGAGCCGTTCCCTTCTCCTGCTTCGAGGCTGGAATTCCGAGCATAAAAATAACGATACGCTTGTCTTGCGAAATGCTGTTCTTTTCCATCGCTCCCAATATCTGTGAATCTTTTATGGTCACTTAGGCATACACATGTTCCGATGGGGCCATCACTTCGAGTTTTGGCTCAAGGGCTCGGACGCTTCCGAAGTCGAGATCAATTCGGAAAAAGACCAGCATTACTCAATCTAGCCCCGAGGAGACACGCGAGGCGATGTTTGCGGGAGACCGCTCATCGTTTTTCTATCAAATCGGCTCCAGGCCGGATTGTTCAGATCTCGTTTCGGTTGCAGGCGCATGGCAGTACGTGACTTAAGAACTCGTCCGGCCTTGGAACAATCAAATCAGGGCAAAACGCTCCGCGAGCTTCCGAGCCTCGATGAGGGGCGAGCCCCCAGCAGAGTCTCAGAAAGAGGAGTTGAGACTCAAAACAGAAGGCCTCCCGACTAACCATGGGAAGTCACGACGACGCTCACCTACTATGCCGTGGGGACGGCTCCGACGCCCCGTCTTCCCTGGCTGCTGGCGACGCATTCAGAATCGCGGCGATTCCGCCGTCGCGCGTCGCGTCAAGCGCTGCGTTTGATGATTACCGCCGGAACCCGACCGACTACTCCACGGACTCATCACGTTCTCAGTCGGACTTGCTCATCTGAGGCATTGATGAATGAAAGGGAGAGAGAATCCCCTCCGAGATGCTGCTCACGGCATTTTTCTTCCGAATTATTCCTCCCTGTGCCCTGAACTCTTCCTCAGGACCGGGAGCGAATGTGAGTGAAAGTTTCATGTTTCAACTTCCATCAAATGAGAATCTTCTATAATTATTGTCATACAATTCTTATCTTTGCCAAGCCTCTTGTTCATCATGTATATATGTAGTTATGACTCCCTATAGGCATTGTTCATAAATAAATCCTTGATAAGCGAGAGTGCCGCTGAGCATATATCATACATAAGTATATCCATACCATATACATATATAGGTAAACAATGGTGCCATAGAGGGGAGTAGTAGCGTCGACACAGGTACTGGGCGTTGACATCGCCTCTCTAGCTCACTTGGGAATAATCTTACTCGTGTTTGTCTGGTGCTCTCGAGCTGCTGTCTCTCTGAGTGGTCAGGTTCCTCCCGCAGTCCTGCTCTTGAGTAAATCGAATCTAAGGAGGAAGATTATCCAACCCTTTTTGTACCGACAATCTCTAGGAAATAATAATCTTGCTCAGTCCTACGTACCATCTGTGAGTCGGAGCTGCTCAGATGCGTTCACCTAAACGGGAGTCCCGCAGCTGGCCCTCCTCTCACGCTGTCCAGGGACCTGATTCCGCGTACTCAAGGGGAAAAAAATAAGGGAACGACTTGCTCTGTCGGAAATTCTCTATCCAAATCCTTCTGTGGAGATTATGAACGAGGCGGGAAGTTCCGACCTGAACTTCAGGAACTCCGAGTTTCAGCAGCCGGGAGCGTGGCGATGTTTTCCCTGTCCAACAGCGTACCGCGCGTGGGTGTTGCCATTGTCTCAGAACTACGATTTCCCGCAGAGCTATTACGAACGACGTCTGCGCTGATCCGTTCGACCGAATGCTCATTCGCTCATTGAATACCGACTCTGACTTAATCTCCAAGAGCAGCAGAAAATTTTGAATCAATCCAAAGTTGCCTATTGAGGAAGAAAAAATAGGGCAGCCGTGCCTTATTGCGAACAATGTCGAAAGAGGGAACAATGCTGGCAGACAAGAATCTTGAACAATGTCAGGAGCTTAGCTCAAATCCTTGTCTGAAAGAGGTAGGCGTCGCCGCGTCGTCCCTTGTCATGGATTGGAACTTTTCTCTCGCTTGTATTCGGCAACGACGCTCCGTTCTGGAAACGCAGCGCTGCTATTCGCGTCCCCTCTAATCAGCCGCACGCGGAGCCATATCGAGCGAGTCATTCTACCTTCTTCTGAACCTTCGAGAGACACTCTCCCGACGGCTATGGCGGATAAATGGATTCTGCGCGTGCACATGAGAATCAGCTTGAAAATTCAGGCAAGGCCTCGACGATCGTTCCTGCGGAGGACGTGCTCGGGTTTCCTCCATTTTTTCTCAAGTTTTTCTGCGCTGTTCACGTTAGAGTCGGCAGGCATCCATGGGGCGGCCACTGGCAGAGGCAAAAACGCGCAGGAGCCGGCCGAGATATTCAGATCCGCGTTGGGTGAGAATGGCAGAGAGTCGCACACGGAGCTCTCGCCTAGTGATCCGTCTGAAGTTCACTTGCGGTCTCAATTCATCACTCCATGGCGAGTTGACTGGCCAGCCAGCTCCCCAGACGGTTCAGCCGAGCTGGACGAGATGTTATATCCGTCTACTCCCCTTTGCCCCTTATGAACTTTCGTTCGCCTTTCGCTGTTAAATGGCGCATGTAATCAACTTTTGGTGGAGCGTTTTCTCCGGATCTCTGTGGCTTTCTCGGTCGTGACAACTTTTTTCTCGTAGATAGATACGATGAAGCCTCCCGCATGCTTTCCGAAACAGACATCCTGACCGGACAAATGAGAGATCACAAAGTACTCTGGAGGACTCTCGATTGAGACAGGCTGAGTTTTCCAGAGTTTCGATCCTTCCCTCCATGGAAGCATAGCCGCTGAACGAGTCGAGTCGATGATTAGAACGAGCGCTCCCGTTTCGACTACTTCGTGAGCGGCACTCTGTGCATCAGACGGGATTCTCCTGAGAGATTCCGACAAGGTTGGTCTTTCCCAGATAGAATCTGGGACCCAGTCACTCGAAACATTCACAAGTCCCGTCAGAGGGTGCACCGTCCGGGGAGCAGGCTCCGAACAAGACGAACGAGCCGAAACGCTGACAAATTGACCAAACCCTGCTCTCCTCAAGCAAGGATTCGACCAGAGAAGAATCTGAGAATTTTGACGTAGAACTACGTCATTATGGACGCTGTCCAAAAAAATGTGACGGATCCAGTTACGGATGCACGAATGGTTTCGGATTGAGGGTTTCGAAATCGCGGTAGGCTTCTCAGGCGACATCTGGCAGGGGAAAACTGTCAGAGAGGCTAGTGAACTCCCCGCGACTCCGAGTCCAGAAAACTACCTCTGGAACCTTCGAATCACCTCAGTTATTTAGAATCATTGGACATTGAAACTAAACGTGATGCGTTATGATGCATTGTGGTACTCAAGGGTGCCGCCGGAGTGCCGGAGCAAACGATCGTGCCACTGAGCTGTCAATCGTGGTACGAAAGCGGCGAACGATCAGGTATTGTATTGGGGTATCAGCACATCGTCTCCCACGCAACTCCGGAGGCGAGTCGAATGCTCAGCGCGCCCGACACATCTACATTTGCATACGCGCCGCCGCCTGGTCACCTCACGACCGAACTGAATCATTTTGATAATGGGAACTATATAGACAGGATCCGGCTCCAGAACCGTCTCGGGTGCTCAAAGCCGGAAAACTGAATCTCAGCCACGCGTATAATATGATCCGATACAGCAAACGGCTTGCAATATTCGACTTTCTCTTTTCACCGTCGGCTTATACTTTCATCCCTTATTCCCTCATCAGTGAGGACCGAGGAACTTTGGAGGTTTTGAGCAAGGAGCTATATTCCTCATTCGCTGAATGAGGGCTCGAGACTCTCATCCGAATTTGACACTTACTGCGATAAAATTCTTACATCAAATTACGGCTCCGCTCGACTGCTCGATCGTTTGGATCGGGTCTCAATAACGATAGGAACATATCGTTGAGGATCCGGGATTCTCATGCGGGACCGAACTTCATTGGCTTCATGAGAGTGCGTCCGAACTTCATCCTCCGTGTCGAGACTTGAGATGACAGGAGCATATCGTTGAGGATTCAGGATTTTCATCTGGAATCGAACCTCATCGGCTCCGGAAGAGTGCGGCCAGACTTTATCTTCTGGATCGGGACTTTATCGGTTGAAACTTATCTTTGAGGACCCCAAATCAGAATCCAGGATCGGAATTCATCGCGAAGCTATATTTTCAAGCCACGCTTCAACTATCTATATCTCGATTTCATAATCATAGACTGAAACAATAAATCTTCCCTCGATTCGCTTCATAGACTTCATCGCGATCTCGCGATCAGTCCCCTCGAGTACGTTGACGTAGTTCTACGCAACCCACAGGTTTGGCTTCAAGCTAAACCTGCACTGAATTTTTTTCCTTGGATGGTTATCATAATAATCAACGGAAGCTTCTTTCTCTATTCGCCCCTGAGCTCCGCTGTCCTCCCTGACAGGAGCTGGTCTCATGTCGGCTCATATGAAGATGAGTCTTCCATCCGCTACCTGATGAAATCGAGGCGTCGCAGAGGGATTTATTGTGAGATGAGATGCTCTTTGGATCTCAAGGCGACTCCGTGTAATCGCTCGCGGACTTGATTACCACGTTCGAGTTCAAGTGTAGTGTCACACTTGCTGCATTTGATCGACGATAAGCGGAGAACAGCGGAATCCTTCACGACGCAATTCGAACTCTGACCTAGTAGAGATCGTGTTCCATTTCCGCGCAGCAGAGGAGGTTGCGCATTGAGTACTGCGCCGAAGAAGACGACGCGACCCATTGCGTTTGCATTGGACTTTCGTCACTACGGCTTCATTGAACAGGGGATCGGGACGCACCAGTTTGTTATCTTTCCGCTGTCCTCTTCGCAGCCTGAATCCGCGGGGTGATCGAGAGCGAGAGATACGATTCTGGAAGACAAATCCTTTTTGGAATACTCGTGTACGGACCAGAGACTCCGAGGCTGTGGTCCTTGTCGCCGGCAGACAAAAGCACTTCATCTGTTATTTCGAGAGAAGGTCAAGAGCTCCCCGCTCCCATTGAGGAATTCCGTTTTCCCGCCGGGAAGAGGCGAGACGATTCCAGACGTAGAGGGGCACGAATCTCGCAGGATAGCGCTCGGCTCGAGCCAAAATCCGTTGAATCTCAAAGCTGACGGAGCGCGTTTTTCGATGGTAGGGATCGGAGACTTTATTCTCCGGCTTCCAAAATCTCGTGTCCCCTCTCTCCCCCACTCCCCCCGCCCCCAGACTCGCCACTGCTCCCGAATATTTAGAACCTTGTGTTCTTCATCTGTCAAAATCCTGGGACGAGAGCTCCTCACCTCTCTACATTTTCGGCGAATAGGCGGACTTTCTCCCGCCAAGGGACTCCTAAACCGAACTCCGATGCCACGAAATTCTTCTGATATCGACAGGTTCAGCCTGCAGGTGATCGACCGCTCATCGGGGGAGCTCCCGAAGAGCATCATCTTCTGGTGGATGATTGACTAGTTACCTAGTGAGTTAGTGAGGAGTCAATTAGTGACTAGGCTAGGAGCCTCGGGCCGTCCAGTCGGCTTCCCGATACATAAAGGTCCAGAGACACAAGCCGCCTTTTTATTATGCTTCCCCCCGATGCTGAGGCAGAGCAGAAGTCCGTATGCCATCGGAACCGCTACTGCGGACGGCATGGATGGGTGAAGATTTGGGGTAAGTCGTCGAACACGACCGATCCAGTGCATCCTGTAGGACAAGTCTCGGACTTCCGCGGTGTCAAGCAACAAATGAAGGCAGCAAGTAATCGGCTTTCGATATCCGCTGCCGCAAGCACCCCGCATCCCGTCTAATCCACCCGACAACGTTAAACTCCCTCGT